TTAAGTTATGGATGTTGCACGTGCCAAGTGGCTTCAGAAAATTCAAAAGAGGGATTGTCAAGGTATTCCTTCTCCTCCTCCCAACCTTTTTCATTCCTGATTTCTAAGTTTCTGCTAGTTTCTAATTATCATAAGGCAGAGACAACCCACAGCTGCTCTGATTTACTGTAACTTTACCTGGGCAGTTTCACAACATACTGTGAAATCTCTGCAACCTTACACTTGGACTTCAGTTCCTATTTTGGAAATCCAGATAGTTCCCTCATGCACAAATCAGAGTACAAGAGTAGCTTATTATGTAAAAGGTTACTGTCAAATGTAACATATAATCTAGACAAATGTTTAAGTAAACACTTGCCTCCTACACACACTAAATCTCATCCTTGAGGCAAAGGGCTAAGTCCTTGCTGAAACACCATCTCCTCTGCCGAGTGCAACGGTTAGCAGATCGGAGACAGAAAATTTCCAACACCAAAACATTAGATTTGTCTGTGTGGACACACTTGACCTGACAGCTCTGTGATCTAACCTTGCTTACATGTGTACTTTGCTTGCTTGTCCTGTTCACATCGCTCAGTTCCTGAGCACTGTGAAACAAAAGTCGCTATGAAGAGTCCTGTTCTGTGACAGAAGAGGGACAAAGTGGCACACAGGGAAACTACAACACATCTAACTTTAACTCTCCTGTACTTCTGAGGGAATCACTTCAAAGGTAGCAAAAAAGCTACACTCCGCCCCTCCCATTACAGCTCACTGACAATCTTCCCACCAACTTCAATAGGAGCTTACTATGAAAAAGCATACATCATTTAAATATGTTTAAGAGACAGAGAGTTGAGGAGTGTTTTCAACAGCGCTACAGCTGTATAGCTATTCAACAACCCTATACAGCAGGATTGTAAGAAAAATGAAAGAATAGCACATCAACAGTGGAAAAGGTGAAAGATAAGGAAGCATATCCCTACAACTTATTGCGGGCAGTACTCACTGTGCAACTCCATTTAGGCCAGCTGCTTCTCCCTTAGAAGAATGAAAGCACAGCTATACAAGCAATGCTCAGTTCGCTAGCAGCTAAATGCCTCTTCCTGTGCTTGGTGCAGTGCTTATAAGCTGAGGCTTCAGATCCACACGTGAAAGAGGAATAAAAACAAAAACACTTCTCTAGCACACGTGCTTGTATCCCAACCCATGCAAGCCAGAGACATGATGAGCACACAGCCTGCAAAGAACCTAAAAGGCCCCCAACCTGCAGCCAATGTGGCTGGAGCACATCAGACAGAAAATAAGTTTAACCACAACACAACTAAAGGGAAATACTAAACTCACTCACTTTTGAAGGGCAAACAATTGATTTTTACTTCTGAGCAATTTTGCACTGATAAGACTTGAAAATAACCAAGTATAACTGCCTGTAAAGGCCAGGTTACACTTGAACATGCCTCGTAGACCGAAAAAAGCTGAATGTAGACTCCAAATTAATCAGAACAACACTAGGAAAAGAATAAAAATCAACACGACAAACATACTTTAAAATGTGAATACAAAACTAAGGTTTGCTGTGTCAGACACTGAGGTGCCTGAATGAATACACATCTACAACTCATCTTTTGTGCTGTGAAATCACCACTTCCAAATAGGTTGGCACTGCACAGAGAGATGACGCTATGGCTGACTCAGGATGAAAGCCCGTAAGAACATCAAGACTAATGTTCTTAAATCTAAATGACTTAAACAGCTCTCGAATGGGAGTAAGCACCTCTACCATTTTATCCTTTATCCCACTTACATTCATTAACGTTAGCCACTTCCCAGCTGTGTAACCAAGGCCATCTACTGGTGAGATGTGCAAATTAATGGGGCTTTCTCAGCCAGAATTAATTGACACTCGTCAAAACCTAGTTGGATTTGAACTGAAAATGTACCAAGCAACTGTTCACAATTGAGCAGTCACAGTAACAGGAAACATGTCCACAGTTTCTGATGAACGTAGTCTTCTCAAACCCTGTACGAACCTAAAGAAGCACATTTTACTCAATGAGAATTATGTGGTATTTTACATCTCATAGTTCATTCCTAGTCCAGACACCTTGTAACCTCAATGCTCTGTGTAAAATGAATCAGTAACTTCAGCCTGACTAACAGGATGGATATTACCCTAAAACTCACTAACAAACCTAGTAACAAGAATTGTTTTCAAGAATTACTACAGCCTGTGTGAAAAAGTCTGCAAATATTCCAGATTTGTATGTATGGGATGCATAGACTGTAAAGCACAACTACAATTACCCATGACTTACAGCAGCAAAAGTGGAAAAAAGTGTAAGTCAGAAAAGGAGATGGAAGGCAAATAAAGCACACTCAAATCCAAACATATTTCTAAAGTGAAGTCTAAGACAAGGTAAGCAAGATAATTTAGGAGCAAGAACGCATGCTGTGACACAGAAGCCCACGCTGTTCTAGTGATACCTTTCAGCAGTTTTGGGGCAGTACATTCATTCTTCAATATATATTTGTTCTTTTTAAGTCGAGAACTAACCCTGGATTTACTTTATTTTCCCCTTATTTTTGGCAGGAAGCACAGCAAAACCACACACAGCATGGTACGTGCACTTCTTTAGAATGTCTATTGCTTATTTCTAAATCAGGAAAATATCTCTAGCAAAGCATCTTTTGCTCTTTTTAAAGCTTTGTAACACAAATTATTTGTATCAGTTTTGGGTAAGTTGTTTGAGTGACATCACTGGAAATTGCTGAAGTAAAAGCACAATATTCCTCCCCAGCTTTGACTGTAAATCTTGGATGAGAACTATGTAAAACAACTCCATATCCTTTTAGCCACGAGAACTTGGGACAGTCTTCATAGTATCTACCAATATATTCACTAAACCCATTTTGTACCTTACAGTGGTTGGAGCAGCTACATTTAGGCTGGCAATGCAAAGCCAGGAGGTTTATCTATTTATTTATTTTCACCTTGAAGAACATAAAAGAGAAGTATTTCCACACCACCCAATGAATAATACTGGTTTAAGTCTTGCAATTAACATGCTCTTATCAGAGATTTTCAGACAAGAAGAAAAAATTTAGAAGGTTAAGATAACTGCAGTATTGGATACCGATATATTCAAAATGACTGGAGATAATGTTAAAGCATATTTCAAAACCAGCTATAGTTAAGAGGGGAAAAATCCCCACGGACAACTAAAAGAATTAAAGAGCTCAAACTCTAAGACCACTGGCATTCTCCCCATCACATTACCACAGATCTCTTTCTCAATTCTGATTAGAAAGAAATGTAAAAGCTTGGTATAGTCATAATATTCACTGCTATCTGTTCCACACAGAACCAACGTTCTTAACATACAACTCATGCAATTCATCGTAACTCAGGCAATAATAAGCACTGAAAGTCCAGACAAGTGTCTGTACTTTTTTTAGCACAGTACTAAGGCGGCAAACAAGTCTTATCACTGCAGTTCTAACACTGACCAATTAATTCTTCTATGAAAAAGGAATGTTTATTTCCGGAATGAGAGCCATGGAACAGAGGCTACAGACTATGACTTGCATTACAAACTCTTCTCACATCATTTGATCAATTCTGTAAGAAATGCTCATCTTGCCTGACCTCAGTTGTGATCTATGAGAAAATTACATTCATCAAATCCTCAGTCCCTCCAAATGTACTCAGTTTCATCTCACAACTACAGAAAACCAACTGAGAAGTCACTTTTCTTTGTTATGCCAAAACATGGAGAAAGTCTTAGAAAAAGAGTATTGCATTACATATATAACATGTAATATATATAATTAGTAATATAGCCCAATTCTGAGAACCAGTTTTGCCATAGTGCAAAGTAGGGTCAGGAAGTCCAGTTCATCAGATCCTTGTAGATGCGATCAACAAAATAACCTCTACATCCCCACCAACTAGCAAAAAGGAAACACAAGCTTTTTTATGTGTTGTGGATTTCTGGACAACACACGCACTGGATTACAGTCTGACTGTAACCTCCTTCTACCAAGTGACCCAGAAAAATGATTTTACTTAAAGCCCTGAGCAACAACAAGCCTTTGTACAAATTAAAAGGAGATAGTTCATGCAGTAGCCCTAGAGCCAACCTGGACAAGGTGAGATGTAAAAAATGTGCTCTACACCAAAGCTGTGGAGAATGGCCCCACCTGGAGCTGCTGGGAGAAAGCACCAGAGGGGACACTCAAGGTCAAACCATAGGGTTTTGGAGCTGGAACACAATACAGTCTAACTGAAAAAGAGATATTAACAGCATATGAAGGGGTTTGAACTGCTTCAGAAGTGGCCAGTACTGAAACACAGCTCCCCTCTGCACCCTGACCACCTGTGCTGTGCTTATGCCCACTACCATCTAACAACTGTACAAGAAATCTAAAAGGGATTTTAGATTTTCTATGTCTTTATATAATGATTTGCTCATTTCTTCTACAAGCAGTTTCAAGAATTCATTTAGCTACGTTATCAGGTCCTCTTAAATTCAAGTTTTAGACTGATCATTCTAACACAAACTTCTGAACTTGGAATTATCTGTGTTACTGAATTGAAAGGAACATCATTTTTATTATAAAAAAAAAAATCTACGATCCATTTTCCCAGGGTGATGTTAACGAGTTTTTTTTTATTCCAATCTCACACCAAACACTAATAATGGCTCTAAGTTTCCTAATCTCAAATACATTCAATAATGACATTACCTCAAACTGAACTGTTGAAGATAGACAATTTAAGAAGTCCATCTACTGCTATTTCATCTTGCATATTATTCAGTTACATACTGCACAGTCCCTGGGGAAAAAAACATATGAAGGTAATTTAGAAGGGTCAGCAGCCACAGAAGTGTTGTAGTACCATTTCTTTCTTCTCAGAATACAAGAAGTCAGCATCCCCATTATACTGGCCTTTGTGAAAATGTGCCATCTAAACGCCTTGGATGAGCACTAGTACCAATTAAATCTGTACCAGCCTGTTCCGTGGAAAAGGCTTTATTGCAAAGTTTCAGCATAGTGTAAACTTCAGAAACAATTTTGGGTAAATCAAACATACAAAGTTCTTCCCTCCTTTTGGAAAAGAGGGAAAAAAAATAGACCAAAACGTCTGATATTTGTAACAACAGAACATTTATAACAAAGATTCTGCAGAAGGCATTTATTCTAATAGCTTTGGATGTTCAATTCGTGTAATTGTCCAGTCCGGTTTTGCTCCTTCTGTAAATTCCCTTTGGAACCTGGAAAAGACAACAAAGTAATCAAAGCGTCATTAAAATTTACTTAATCTTTAAAGAGATACTAGTATCAACAAGGAAGAAATTCAGGAAGGAAATACTTCACTTCTGTATTATTCCTATGAAACCTCATAGAACGATGCTTATGCACCAAAGAGGAAAAAATATATTAATTGCTTACATACTGTAAGTACTTACTATGTGTTCTGCACTGACACAACATACGTTTTCAGTTCCAAACTAGTTTCCACACAGCTAACATACAAGGGGCAAGGAAACTTACTCATAGTTTGCTGTTAAAATATGTCTTTTTTCCTTTGTGCTTTCATCTCCAAACATAATCTGGAAGACTTTGGTTTCACCTGGTACTTCATCAGGTAGGTTAGCACTATTCAGATACCAGAAACGCATCAGGATACTAACAAACTTTCTTCCTGTTGGAAATAAAGCATAATGTAGACTTCATGGTTATGAATAAATGTATAACAGAATAATTCACAATAAAGCTGTTTAAAGCAATATTTGTGTTGTTAAGCAGTAACAAAAATACAATCAGGAGAAAGGTATGTAATTTATGAGCTTACCTCTTGAGAACGTATACAATCTAACAGTATAAAAAAGTTGGCTATCACAAGGTCAAAAACCAACTATTTATACTACAAAAAAAGGTAAGGGAGTTAAATTTCAGAAGTGAACAGGGAAAAAAAAAATCTCTACCTTCAAAAGCAGGAAAAAAATCTCAATTGGTTTGAAAAACTGAAATTCTGATTCCAAGACTCACCTCAACTGTGTTTGACAGAAGACAGCATGCAGTATTAGTATTTAAACAAAAGAAAACTTGTTTGAGGTTAACACTAGCTTAAAAAAATAACCAGTGTTCTGTAACTATATCCCATGAAAGCAGAATAGTAGTGAAGACAGTAAAACGTCTTTCATTATCCAGCTTTAATTACTATTCCCAGAACGTATGTATTTTCATTGCTAAAGCAATCAGCCTTCTGCATATAGAACAGTCACTGCTCGAGTGCTTTGAGATTAAGGACTAACAACAGAGAGTCAAAATCATGAAAATGGAATGAACAAAACCTACACAGAAGTCAAAACAATACCATAATTTACAAACAGTATCAAGTTCTGGTTTAAAAAGAAATTAGGGAACTATGTACAGAAGTACAAGCAAAAGAACAAGAAAGGAAAAACATTAAAAAAACCCACTTGTACAGAGAGCAAAGCCAGGAAAAAGCCCACCCACTGCAAAAATGTTTTAGAATTGTAGCATACCATCATCATCATAGTAAATGCGAACATCTCCTTCTGTTGTGTACATGATTGCATCCATGTCAGCTGCTAAAGCATCCCTATGGTTCTCAGAAAGTGAAGAAATCTTTTCCTTCAACATCTGAAGTACCTAAGTTCAGAAAAACTCATGCTTAGTTCTTCATTAGGAAGCTGAAGTAGCAACCTTATTATCTATAACAGTTAATAAAATGAGCTATATTGGAATAACATTTGTTGAACATTGTAAAACATACAGCAAGAATGAGCAAAGCACTGGGCACTCCCAAGCCCTAGTTAACCATACTAAACAAGATCCATTTAATACTCAATTTGATGAAAATGTTTAGAAAATATACTGTCAAAGCAGGAGGTGCATAGCAATGCATAAGTCCAGAAAATACCAGTTCAGTTTGCTTCCACAAAGATACTTACACTCTGCCTTCGCACTGCTGACTTCGCTATATGCACATTCCTTACGTTTTGATTCAATCATTTCTCAGTTCTCACCAATTTCTTTGTAAATCAGTTCCATTACCACTAAGTTTAACTTTGCCATTTCAGGATCCACATTCCCACTGGAAAACGTTTAGACATTTGCCAATCAGTAAAGAGTGGAAAACCGTTCCTTTAGGACTTAACTTACAGATCACACTCACAGTTGTAGCTTTTGAGCATCCTAAGATGTACACAGCTGCGTTACGTAGAAAGGATGTGGTGCGCTAGCAGAACAGAAGCATCACCTCAAGCACCACAAAAGGAGGCATCACAAGGAAAGACTAAGTCATGTAGCACACCTTTAACTCATATTCAGTTTTTAATCCTAACCTGAACTGCCACTTTTGAAAAATAAATTCAGAGATTGCATGGAAGTATGTGCATCTTCACCAGAGGACATTAGCTTCCAGTGCATGGCAAGTATGAATTTCACTGGCCAGAGCAAGACAGTAGTGCGGTATCAGTCTTGGCTCCTGCACACTCTGATCATGAGCTACCCCAATCATCTGAAGAATTTAAGATGAACAGAGGAAAAGGAGATGTTTTTTCAAAATATCTGTAGAAAAAAATTACAGCCTATTGCTAACTCTGCTCAGAGAGGAGGTAAGATATTTAGTGCATCCAGCAGGGATGCACTATAACTGTGCCAAAAATTGTGTAGCAAAGGCATTGGTGGTAATAGCACAAACCAAGCTGAAATCCAGGAACAGGGCACATGCAGCCCTGAAGCACCTCCTTCTCTTGACTGATGCATATGCTACCTCTGTCCCTGGGGAAGGCCAAGACAACATCAGCAATTTGGAATTCATAAATGACAGGTACACCAGAAATCCTTTTGGCAACTGGTCTCTGTTTAGTAGCAAGAACGTTTTTTCATCATAATTTTATTTCATAATAGAAAACATCAACTGGCAGAAATAGAGATGGAAGTATTTACCTCTGTTGAAACCAGGCCATCCAGCAGGTCAAGTTTTCGCTGAGACAGCAGCTGTGAAACAACGGAAAAGGCCTGCAGAAATAAAAGAGAAATACATAAATAAATAATTTGGGGTTTGCTTACTCTTTGGGCAAATACAGTGTTATAGGACAAGCTACCTAAACACTGCACAATTTAAGACTTCAACGTTTACAGGGTATATCACCTCTGGAACAAAACCATTCCAGCATTAAAAAAGGGATTCTGTTAACTGGTAAAAGTACTAAGAGTTCTTCCCATTCTCATTTAAAGCACAACAGTTTTGGTAAAAGGCAAACAAGTGCCTTTCTGTGAAAACATCACAATGGCCTGCAGCTGTTTTTACTCTTTTTTTTTGAGTAATTCAAACGATCCATGTTCTCTTCCCTGACTGCCCCCTTGCCCAGCCTCTTCCAAGGCCACCTCCCAGTCCCACTCAAAACAGATGCTCGGGACTAAAATAATTTGGTTTTGAATCTACTGTAGTCCCAACACCTCGGAGGCACACAGCTTCCTATCTTCCTGAGTTCTGTAGGCAGCGCTACACGCAGCGGCACCTCAGCGTGTCCAAACGGCGCACACGCGAAATGCTGACAGCGTGCTTTGAGCTTTTTACCGCGCGTAAAAATTAACGAGAAAAGAAGGGCAAAGTAAAACAGCGCGGCGTGCTTCTGCCCGGCTCCCTCTCGCGTCCCCAGGCATTTGAACGCCCTCCGCTCTGCGCCGCTGATTAATTAAACCCAGAGCCACCGGCCGGCGCGCCGGGTCTCACCTGCTTGGCGCCGCGCGTGAACTCTTCGATGCTGAACTCCGAGTCGAAGTAGAGGCGGATGAGCAGGTAGTAGAAGCGGGTACGGAGCCAGGCCAGGGGGTTGGTGATGCGCACCACCACCACCCGCCGCTGCGGCCCCTCTCCCTCGGTCCCCTGCGTCCCGCTGCTGGCGAAGCGCACGGCGGGGAGCGCGGGGAGGGGGCACGGCGGCGACGGAGCCGGGACGCGCGCTGCGCGTGGGGCTGCGCGGGCCGCCCCTGGCGCCAGGAGCGCGCCCGCCAGCCACCGTGCGCGCCGGGGAGCAGCGCGCAGCGCCATCATGGCGGCGGTGCGCCCCGACCCCGGCACGTCCGCTGGAGCGCCGCTCCGCCGGAAACACGCCCCGCGCCTCCGGTTCCGCCGTGCTGCGGAGGGCCGCAGCGCCGCGCCGGGCCGCAGCGCCGCGCCGTACCGGCTCGCCGAGCAGTCCGTCGTCTCCCCGCAGAGCCGACCTCCCGGAGCGGAAAAGAGGGCTCCGTCTCCTGGCCCTCGCCGGGCGGCAAGAGTCGGGGAACGCTTCCGCTCGGTTCTCGTTTCCCGGCGGAGCGGCGGACTACGGGGCAGGGGCTATGGAGCGGTGCGAGCAGGCCGTGGTCCGGGTGCCGAGCATGGACGGCGTGACGCGGGAGCGCTTCCTGCGGGACGTCTATCCTCGGGTACGGACGCTGGCGCGGCGGGAGCGGGGTGACGGGGCCGCGGCGGAGGTTCCAGCGAAGCCTTCTCAGGCAGCGGGCGTCGTGCAGCCCTCCTGAACACGGATGCCTCAGTCAAGGCTCAGTCCCACGTTGCTGCAGAGGTCTGACACGCCGCTGGTGGCTGGATTGTATTTATTGCCGGTTATAAACTGTGCGATTGCTTTCTGTCGTATTGTCACTACTACTCCTTTTTTTTCTTTCTTCTTTCTTTTCCCTCTGAGGTTCTGACTGAATGAAAAAGACCCTCTCTATTGGGCTTTATGTGTACAATGGACCAAATCTATTTGTGGGTATCGGCATCGAGGAGCCTCAGTGCGAGAGGGAAGAGTTGCTTTCACGAGAACGTACACCGCTATTACAGCTTGCAGTCCTTACCTCCAATGCACGGGAATGAGTGCAGCTGTTCTTCAGGCCAGCTAGATTCCTCAGTGGTCTCAGAACACACCGGCTGTTAATGCTGTTGTTGCCTCTCCATAACCTTCCTTATCCAGCTGGGAAAACAGGAACTACAGAAGCAGTCCTGTGATCTCCTGCATTTTGCTGAGCGTTCAGCATTCACGTTCAGTTGCAAGCAGTTCATTTGTGACATTGTTGCAGGTGCTGATACTCACAGCTGTTCACGTGTAGTTTAACTGACACCAGGTTGGAGTAAGACTGTTTTCTTCCCAGATTTCAGATGGCAAATTGAAAAAATAATTCTGTTCCCCATCAGCACCATTGGATGCAAACATCATTCTCTGCTATTGTTTCTCTTTCTCTCCCTCCTTAGAGAGAGCCAGTTGTGCTGAAGGGAATGGAGCTGGGCCCTTGCACAACCAAATGGACAGTAGATTACCTGAGCCAAGCTGCAGGATCTAAGGAAGTAAAGATCCATGTTTCTGCAGTACCACAGATGGATTTCCTCAGTAAGAACTTTGTGTATAGGTACTTCCATCCCAAATCTCTTGTATTTAGAGGCAGATGTTTGTCACTTTCAGAAGCAACTGTGAAAACTTGAAATGATGTAGAACTAAACAAGTAGAATTAAAATGAAATAAGTAGAACTAAAAAAACCAGAAACACTGAAGTCTTAATGTGAAGTTCCACAATTGAGAACTGATGCTGCGAGTGTTACTGCAGTGCCATTGTCAGCATCGTGCTGCTGCCTTGCCTTTGTATTGGATCTGGAAGTGCAGAAATCTGGATGTTCTTCTGCTGTTTTGACTTTGTGAGCAGGTTCACCAGAGCTCAGAGGAGTGCTGGTGCTAGTGTAGTATAGGGGATGAGAAGACGATGGTCAGCAAGGGCAGCATCAGTATGCTTCCAGTATGCTTTAATCTGTTCCAGAGCTGCGCTCTCATTTTTCTGCAGTGAATTTACAAGTGGACAGGATACAGATGTTCAACCAAAGTCAGAACTTGTTTCTTGTTGACTTCAGTGGCTGTTGGATTTGCTTGCTTGGGGCTGTACTGGGGACAATTTACTAAAGCAGAGAAGTTTGTAAATGCAGGATTTCTGTCTCAGCAGAATTCTTCAAACATTCGCTGCAAATACTGGTTAGTCACTTTGTTAAATAACATAAATTAATAAATAAAAAACATGTTGCACTTTCAGTTACACTAGATAAGGTGAGAAAGCTTATGATTTTAAGACTTGCACTTAGATCATGTGTTGTTATGTTGACTGTATGAATTTCCATGTTTATATTTCAGAACTCTGCCTTTTGATGTATTTGTACGAAGGGCAGCTGAAGTCAAACACAAAGACTACTTTCTTTCTGAGGTAACTTCCTTGGTGTCACAGCTTCTTCTCTGTTTTGTACTTGGAGGGCAAAAAATAAATTAATTTGAAGTCTTAGTCCACTAAAGCACTGGATTGTAGAGTTAACTATTTTGAGTGGCTTGGAGCCAAGGGAAAAATGTGAGGGAAAAGAATTCTTTCCGTGGAAATTATTCTGTGTGCATACGGTATGGTTAACTTCGCTGGTCTTTTTTCTGCTATCAAAACCTAACTGACAGCAGCAAAAGCTCCATCAAGAAATTGAGAAATCTAGCCTTGCTTTAGAATACTTGTGTACTTCAGGTGTTTAATAAGAAAACATCAAGATGCGTGAGTTTGATTACATCTGCTATCAAAATACAAACAGATTTATTGTAATAAATTTTTTGAGTAGTGAACTTATGGCAATCTTTGTGCAACAATGTTCAAATTGGATTTTTCAGATAATTATAATTAGCAAGCAAACAGTTCTAAATGCAAATTTGCTTTTCACTGCTTATGCTACATAGGATGCCATATGATTTGAAGCCAATTGAAATAGCTTCCAACATCAATGTTCTGAAGAATGTAAGTTGTAATCTGCGTTTCCTTTGAATTCAGAAAAGCAATGCTGAAGCAGCTGACAAGTCTCCCACTTTACTCCTCACTTAATTTACATTTCCCATTTGTTGAGATGAACTGCAGGGAGCAGTAAAGTATAACAAAGTAGCTGAATTTGTGAATCTATTTGTATATTTTATTACAGGCCTACATTGGATTAATGAAAAAACGTAGGCTCTTAAGTGTTTTTCTAACTCATATTAAAACCAGAACAATTATCTTTGTGTATTATCTACAGGATGAGAAGTACTATTTGCGATCAGTGGGTGAAGATGTTAGGAAGGTGAGTTACTTGAGACTGCAGTTCTGATACTGAGGCTGCAATTTTTATTGTCACCTGGCTGTGTGGTATAGCTGTAACATTTGTTTACGCTCACTTGGTCCAGGAATCTGAGTGGATTTACGTCAGAATATTTAAACCTAAGTGTCCAAAACAGTTGCTGTTACGAAAACTTGGCTGATCACTGAAGAGTATATCCTTTATATTCTATTCTCTAGCCATTGCTGTAATCTAATATAAAAGCATTTCTGATGATCACTTTTTCAGTGTGATTGCTAGCAGTCATGGTTCACAGCAGCTCTGTCTGTTTTTATTACCACTGGTGGCTGAGTCTGAGCTGAAAGAATGACAACTGAAAAGCATTGTTTTCTGAAGTTATTTGCTAATGCTGAAAAAGTTCTGACCCCATGTTCCTCATGACAGGGAATGATGCTAAGGTGCCACCTTATTTTAGCATGCATAAATGATTCTCTGAGAGTTTTGTCTTTTTTTACTCAGGATATTGCAGATATCAGAAAACAGTTTCCTGTTTTGGCAGAAGATGTTCAGATTCCAGAGTATTTTGAGAAGGAACAGTTTTTCTCTAGTGTCTTCCGCATCAGCTCAGCAGGATTGCAGCTATGGACACATTATGATGTAGGTAATAATATCGTTAGCATCAAATGTTGCAGATGGCATTGTGGGGTTGGGATACTAAATTACACATCTCTGTTGACGAGGTTCTGTTAATGACAAACTTCTCATAGGTAACTGTACAGTGATTTGGGCAGTCTGTTGCTGCAGTGTGGTAGATTCCAAATAAGATGGTCCTCTGACGTCATACAGTGCAATTCCAGATAAATGTATTTGTAAGAAAAATAGGTTTTTTTGCATTGTAAATAAGATTTTTAAAAATCTTTATCAGCAGAAACTCAGCAAAATGTGGTAGAGGTAATACTGAAAAAGAACTCAAAATGTATTTCGCATTATATTTTGCTGTTTCATGTATCTAAAGAGTGGTGAGCCTTGTGGTTTAAGATGGAAGAACTTGATTCCTGTACAAGGGAAAAAAGTACAGTTGTTGGAAAGCAATGTTGTTTTATTTCAAATGCACTATTTTTAAAGACTCTGCAGCTAAGGGATGAGGTTGCTCACATTCTTACGTTTTTTAGATTAACTATGTGGAAACTTTTAGCTAGTCCTTATATATGAGGGATTTAATACTCTTCATTCTTAACTTTCGGCTGACATCTCTTTCTATGCTCATTTCAGGTAATGGATAACTTCTTAATCCAAGTAACAGGTAGAAAACGAGTTGTTCTGTATAGTCCTCGAGATGTACCATATTTATATTTATCAGGTATGCATGCCACGCACATCTCATTCAGAGTTTGCTCTGTTTGCTCATAGTTGCCCTTCCAGTTTGTAAGTGTTGTGCTGTAGGAAAACAATCTGTAACTGATAACTTAAATTGTGAGAAGCGATTTGGTCCCTCCAATGCAGTTTGATTTGTTCAAAGCCAAGAATTTTAGTGATGCAAGTTAGGAAACCTGCAAATGAGTCCTGCAGCTTTACTTGGTTCTGTCTTCAACACTTAACTGTGGAGTACTGTGCTCTGTTCAGCTTTGAAATGATGTTATATATGTCAGTGGAAGTGTCGTTTAGTGTTAATAAGGCTGCAGTTGCAGGAGAAATACAGACAAGAGAATATTCGTCTTCAGTAAATGAGAGGTGCCAGCAGATTTGCCTGGCTTTTAGACGAGCTACAGAACAACAAACAATACTAAACTGGACTCAAGAACTGCCATTTCCAGCAGTGTATTAATGCTTTGTTTCTGTTTTTTTGTTACTTCTGAAAATTTCTCTAGGTACCAAATCAGAGGTGCTAGATGTTGATAACCCAGACTTTGAGAAATACCCACTTTTTGTGAAAGCCAAGCGCTATCAATGTTATCTGGAAGCAGGAGATGTGTTATTTATTCCAGGTAAGTAACAAATAGTTCCTGGCTGTAATATAGTAAATACAGTAGTGGAAGCTTTCCCTCAGGTAGGATTAGTTTGGGTAATTCTGACACTTGTCATGAGTCACAGGGAAGTTTTAGATTGCAATTTTCATTTTAGACATTTTTCTTTCACAGCTATGTGGTTCCACAATGTAATTTCTGAGGAATTTGGAGTGGCACTGAATGTCTTCTGGAAACACCTTCCTGCTGAATGCTACGACAAGAGTGACACTTATGGAAATAAAGATCCCACAGCAGCCTCTAGGGCAATACAGATCTTGGACAGGGCCTTGAAAACACTTGAAGAACTACCTGAAGAATACAGGGATTTCTATGCTCGAAGAATGGTGTTACGGATCCAAGAAAAAGCCTATAGGAATGATTATGGATAAAATAACACTTTGTAAGTCACAGTCTCCTGTGGAAGTAGAGTACTATATGTTAATATAGGAACTGTCCATGTCTACACAAATTCTCTTTCTGTAAGGATAAAAAGCATTGTTGATAAACTTTGTTATACATAACTGTTGACCTTGTAGGATGTTTTGTTTTTTCCTCATGTGATGTGCCCAATCCCACTTCTACAATGAAGCACGTATCTGCAGTGCCTGCACTTCTAAATCTAATTTTGAAATTATTTATGTACATTTTCCTGAAAGGAAGTTTTGATATCTGGACAGATCTAGCAGAATGTACGCTTAGAAATAACTGCACGTCTTCCTGAATGCCTCCTTTATACTAAAGTTAAGGAAAGCTGTAGAAATTTATATGGGATTCAGTAGAGCCATTGGTTGTAACGATTATGGTTTCTTTCTCTGTCATACAGCCTGCGTGGAGAGCTTCTGCTCCCTCTTGTGGTGAAACTCCATATAATTTTGAGCACAATTTAAGGCTGAGATGGGAACAGTGCAGCAGCTTGACCACGAGGTAGATGATGTCTCCCTTTCCAAGCTGAATGAGGTATTATGCAGGAAACTCTGTTGCAACCACAGTCACTGCCTCAGTGCACTTAGGCAGCACTTCTGCTTCTGCAGCTAAAACACTTGCAACTAGCTTTCCCACAAATCCATCAATCTACAGCAGGAAAATCTGAAATGATTGTAATGCTGGAGGAGATATAGGAGCTGTTGGGAGCAGTATATGAGAAGCATTACGTTACCATATGAAAGGAGGCTGCAATGTTACATTTGCAGGTGATATTTTTGGCAGCCAAACGTATCTGTGCTTACAGAAGCCATGTAGAAGAAGGTGGACATGTCACAGAAAGGGTTTCTATTGCCCCTTTAAAATGTCTGTTATTTGTGCAGTTTTGGGGATGCAGTATTTATCCGACATCCAGGTCAGTCTGTGACTTTCAGCAGTGTGGCTATTTTCAAGAGAATGGTATCTTTTCAGAATCTCTTAGACAAGACACGTAGGGCTAATAAAGCACTGAAAAAAAAACAAAACAAAAACAAACAAACAAAAAAACCCCCCAAAAAATAAAACCACCAAAACTCTCCAGAGTAGCAGGGGCTTGCTACACTGTGCCCATTATTTCTCTAAACCTATTCTCCTTGGCAGTTTAACTCAGCGAAAATAGCTTGCTGCCGTGTGAATGGGCACCGAGCCAGCGGAATGAATAGACTTGAATTGACTCAGCCAAGCGATTCTGATGGGCATCATTGTGCACTCTGTGGGTAGAATTTAAATCTAGGATCACAAACAAGTCTCCCAAATTTCTTTTTTTTTTTTTATTTTTATTTTTTTTTAAGGATTGCCTGTACAATACTGCTTAGATGGAACCTGTGTCTGTTAGGCTGGGAAAGCTTCTTGGCTTTGGCAAAGTTGTAATGTCAAGGGCAACACATGGATTGTTTTTGTATGTTAGGAGTAAATGGAAAGGCTCAAAGAGCCTGCAGGATACAGAAAGCTGTTCCAGCATTGTGCCTTTGCAGCTCTGTTAACTCTAACCATCAGCAGCTTCTCATTATGTTAGTACAGAGGCAGTACTGTGCTGAGCCCTCATTCTATCATTTCTTGATTCTCTGTTGCCAAAAGAGGTGCAAAGTAGCTTGGTGTTCTCAGGCCCTCTCAACACTCGTGTATAAAAAGGGAAACTGGGTTTTTTGGATGTAGGTACTAGTGTGGAGGTAGCCCAGCAGAAAAGCTGCAATTCACTTGTTGGGCTAGTGTGAAGTTTGGATTGGAAAATACATATCTGGCTGGGCAGAGATAATCATGAATTAAATGTCAGCCAAGAGCCATAGGAAGCGCAGCTACTTGTGCTTCATATGACCAACTTTAATTTTATTTTTATATGGCAGCAAATGAGGTCATCTCACTGTGACCATCAGCTGGTGGTAACCCAGCCCTGCTCATGCTTCTTTTCCAGTGTACTATGAGAAATGTGGGTGAGGATAGGTTTTTTTTCCCCCTCCCTAGGACTCTTCTTGTTTTCACATCTCTGAGAAGATAGTCAGTAAATCCATAGTGATCTAAGCACATATTTGAGAAAGACAAATAGTATTCCATGCAGACCAGTGAGAAGATCAGCACAGCAGTTATTTTATCAGTAGCATCCATTTTTATCCCTTTGAACCAATTTCTTGAATTTCTTAAACAATTCATATGGAACACATGGCTCTGAAATGCTATTAAATTAGTAACCAAGCAGTTTAAAAGTGTATTTTCTTAATCTGAGCATAATGTCTCTAGTGACAAAAATACTGAAGTTTGTGTTAAAAAATAAAATATTACAAAACAAAACCAAAAGCCCTTGGTGCTTTCTAACCACTGTGGTAGATGTTATGAAGTAAGCAGTAGTGATGAGTGAATGGTGAAAGTATCAAAGAAATAATCTCCAGCTAACACAGTGAGAGAATACTTGTAGCCACACTGAAAATAAGTGACTAAAATAACATGTTAGAGCCACTAATGTTCTGTGGAAGTTCGTTCTTTAGGGAGCTACAGCAAAATGGGATCATTCCACAATAAAACACATGAAGTTGTGGCAATTATAACTGCTGACAATCTTAGACATCCAAAACAGTCACTCTAGCAGTGCACATAGCAGGTTACTTACCCATGCAGACTGCTCTGGACAAAATACTTACAGTATCTGCAGTCAGTAGTAACTGAATTTTTAGAGTGAATTTCAACTAATGCTTTTAGAGTGTAATCCAGTACATGACAACAAAATACCTGGAAAAAATACTTATCCTTGATTGCATGATATCAAGGATGACACACAACTTCAGAAGAAACACTTCTTAAGCATTTTTCTTAATGTTTCTGGTAGTAAGAACCAAATGCCAAAACTGATGTCAGTATATTCTTTTAGCATCAAGATTCTGCCCACCCACGCATGCTGAAGATTTGATGAACCTCACTCGACAACCTGGTTCCCTCCAGGAGTGATGTAGAATCTACGTTAAATGCCTGATTTAAAAAGACTAGGCTTTCACAAAGCATCAGAAATACTTGCAATTGCTTTCAAATATGCAGTATGAAACTATTTGCCTCATTCACATTGTTAGTCTCATAATGAGTTTATTAGCTTGACAAAGGCAAGGATGATTTTACCATACTAAAGGTTATATTATGTATATATTACATAGATATCTATGTCTTACTTTACAGCTTTTAAAGATTCTTTCCTCCTGTTGCCAAAGTGTCCCTTTACACATCTGGGACACTTGGATGTTTCTATGCAGACAATCCAGGTGTTGGGGATGTACACTCAAAGACAGTAATTTCTATAAGAAATTCTCTATAATATCATTCCATTACTAAGGACTCTAGTGTTATTCAAATCATTGTTACGTGTTTATTTTTTTGGTGTTTTAAAAAAAATATATTTTATTTGGGCTTGACTCAGACTGTAGCACCAGGGACTGATTCTGATCTCTGCAGCTATGAAATTCTGTGAGCAATTATCTCTTTATTTGGTGATTGCTATGAGAACCAGGAGCAAATTGAAAAGATTAAAAGAACTGCTCAACCATGCAAAATGAGCAGCTCCACATGTGATGCTATGTTTGGCCAGAAATGCTCAGAAGCTACTGCTTGTGGCAGATCACAGCACTGTACAATTTTTGCTGTGAAAGCACTTACATTTCAGATGTCAAGCAATACACGAATTGCCTAAAACTTCCATCACAAAACTCAATGCAGTTCTAAAGAAGACAAATGAGAAAGAAGAACTACACAGATGTTCTGTAAGGGATGCAAGTTTCACCTGATGTCAGGCTAGAGTATTCTTCATAACTGAAGGCTGTTGTGGGACATGTGAAGAGCCCCATTTTGCACTTCACCGCTGGTACCTTTCATGGCAGTCTTTCTGTCTTGCAGCAGCACTTTCACTAGAAACAACTCAGCTCTCAAGTGCCAAGTCTAACAGAGGAGACAACCCTGACTAAAAGTGCTCTTTGAGAACCTACTGAAAAGGGAATTTTTGTAAAAATTTATATGAAAATTGCAGTAGTAGCGTTCTGCTGTTTTTTAAATATATTAGATGCTCATAGATGTTCAGAAAAGAAGTATTTTTCCCTTTTTTCTAGCAGATGTTTTTCTGATCATTTGCTTAAAAAGAATCTGGCACTTCCTGAGTCACTTAAGAAACAAGTGTAATGAAACCCCAAAGGCAGGAAACTACTTCAGAGCCATCACTATTTTAGAACCTGAAGTACTCTAAGCAAAATGCCTGCCTTAATCAGTTTTTCCATGGTGAATCTCAGTGATGTGGAGCAGCCAGTACTGTATAAATCTTTGTGGGCTTTTTTCTTTTTTTTGTCAGTGGGAGGAGTTGAAATATGCTGTTAATGCTGCTAAAATGAGTTCAGTCAGGAGTGTCTACCTGGCACTGGGAAAAGCAGCATCTGTCTCCTCCACACAGGTGTTGTATGATCTTACATTGAAAGAAAGATTGCAAAGACTGCAGACTGCAGTGTGAGACATGAGCCTTTGCTTTTTGTTTTGTACAGGGACACCCTGCACAAAATTTACATTTGTAGATTCTGCTAGGCAGTACTTAAAAGTAGGGCACACAAGAGAGCACAGAGGTTAGCAGTTATGTTGCTACAAGAAGGGCTGTGAAGCCCTTGGCTTCTATGGCACAAGGAATCCAAAGCACTGCTCAACACAGGGTTTATGCTAAAGCAACTACAGAAGCATAGAGTCACCGAGGTTGGAAAAGACCTCTAAGATGATCCAGGCCAACCATCCACCTGTCACCAACATTTTCACTAAACCACGTCCCTCTGTACAACATCTATGCTGATTGCTACTCACTGTAGCTTATCTGCTACCGATTACATTGCCATATATCCTGTATTAAAACACATGTGGCACTATAGATTATTTCAGTGTTATCAAGAAACAATGCAACAAATACCTCAAGCTACAGTTATGATTAATATATTATACAGTTATGTCAGTCCCGTATGGAAACTCAGTAAAAACAATACAAAACCAGTTGAGTCATCCATAATTTTTCACAGAACATCTGTTGTCCATCTTTCCAATATTTTTTTTAATCAGTGTTATTGCAGAATCACTTTTACAAAACAGCTTAAGTTACCCGGACAAATAATATTATACACGTCTGAAGTATTCTTATAATTGAATGAATTATTTGGAAGAGACCAGGCGGGGAGGATTATCCTCAAAAGTACAAAATTCAAAACCAACAAGACCACCCAACAGGGGTGAGATGGACATCAGCAAAGGCAAGATGAAAAGTAATCAGCTTCTGATAAAGTTTAAAGATATCTTGGAGGGTTTGATTTTACCCACATCCTTCCTGCTGTGTTTCCATGGGATACCAGATAAGTCAATTCAGTCTGGTTTTTATCAGACTTTCAGTTAGTTTATTTGATGGATACCTGCTTTGAGACCCTAGAACCAGATCTCAAGAAGCAGTGAATATACAGCATTCCACTGTTGCACTGAGCATATGTGAAAAATAAGGCCCTAGTATAATTTAAGATATGCACTTAAAGAAAACGGATGGATGTGGTATAAACTCAGTACTTCAACTTACGGTCTCTAAGACAGATAGCAAACTGTCCACACAGATAGCAAACTGTCACTTAGAGAAAGGACAACACTGTTAGAAGCGCCGTAAGAGGGAGGGGGGGAAAAAGTGACTTTCTTTCTTCAAACAGCTCCAAAAGACTCTTCTGGGAAAGCTTAAGTGCCTGATCAGATACAATCAATTTATCCACGAATATCCACAGTAATAACACCCTAATTTCTGAAGTGACTTTGCAGTAACTTCTATGACTATTTAAATACATGTCACTCCTATTAGTTATCTCTGTATCAGCAATTAATGTGAATTTAGCAAGCTAGAACAGCTTACTATAAAGTGCTAGTGCTAACTTACACTAGGAGGCAGAAAGATGTTAACACTGGGAGAACAAAAGATTTCAGTAACATTTTAAGTCTTGGACCCTCAATCACCTTTCAGACTTTGGGGTCCAATTAATTACAGAGGCATCTATAGAAACGCGACTACATCACCCCTTAGCCTTTGGTAGGAAAAAAGTTAGCTAAGTTTCTAGTATGTAAGACACACTCAAAGTAGAATCATTTATGTTATGTGTAATCTGGACAATTTCACAGAACTGAGCACTGTCTTAAAGGGATTTTTAACAGCTGTGACTTAAAACGTATTAGCATTCCTCAAAATCTGAAGAACATCTTTCCTACTGTCCAAAAACAAGCAAGTAATATGAAGAATACCAGCTATTACATACCTGGTTGACTAAGGATGGTGTAACGTTCCTTACCCCACTCAGACATATAAGTGCAAGCAAGCATGAAATCCACTCAACTTTAGGCATTTACATCCAAGCATATTAAAAAACTGCCTTTACAGTTAACCTCGAGAAACAAGCACACGCAAACTATGACCCATTTCATCCTAACATACAAATGTTCAGCCCTTGGGTACTTCACAACAGCTTTCCTATATCTGCAAGTTTCCAGGAAGCTCTTTTAGAATTATGGATGCCAACTATGCTAATGCAAAGCCTGCTCTGAAAAGAAAAAAAAAAAAGGTGCTTTGAAACAAATAACTTTTTAAACTAGGTCACCACAAACACCTGGCAAAGCATAATGCACAGAACTCAACAGCTTTAATCATTTTACACTCACATTGAAGTGTTTTCACCCATTATAAATAGTTTATTTTCTACATTCTTTGCATATCATTTTTAGCATGCATTGTAATAAATGAGGCACATCCAACAGAGCATTACAACTATTAGAGAATGAAAAAAGCAGGCAGTTTTCCCTCCACAACATGAAGTCTCACAGTAAGATTAGCTTTACAACAAAGTGCTTATTCTTCAAACTAATACAGCAATGCTTGAGCTGATTTTGCTTACCAAATTATTGTAAGCCACCTCCACCAAAAGGACAACCGCTCAGGAACTTCTGAAGATGATGCCAATATTTTAATAGCTGTTTTCAAAAGCTTGTACCAACCCTCTCCCACTGTTTTGGCTGGCACCAAATTGTCTACAAATGGGTCTGTGATCTGCACTGCTACTGGGTAGGGCAAGTCTCAGCATATCTAAACTAGTCTGGTTAATTTTGCAGATAAGCTGAACTGACAGGGAACAAGGTCAGTGATACGTTTGTTTGTTTATTTCAATTTAAAAGATATTTCAAGCAATCTGCAGGCATGTGGAGGCCATTAAAAGCATTTTTAAGGCGGTCCACATTTCCTTTAGAGAAAAGAGTCCTAACATATGATGCAAGGGTCATCGAAAGGACCAAAACAGTTCTTCTTTACAACAGGTAAGCATTTAGAATCTCACTAAAATGGTAATAAATAGAGTTGAACAAAATCTCCAAGAAAACCAAACATAGATACAACTAGATGTCAGATTCCTTTACGTTAGTTGGTTTACATGGTGCTCTTTTCTTCAGCAATTAAAATAGCTTATTTCTAGTTTTGATCAAAGTGGTACAAATGGCCTCATAATTACTGACAGCTCCCTTCCACGAGTGTAAAGTATGCACAATTCTTTCTTGCTCTTGATATTTTGAGTTTTTAAAAAAGTTTTCTGAATTCAACAAAGTTTTCTCATTCTTCAGTGGTCATTAATATGTGCATCAACATTGCAAGAGATGTCAGAATACGTCTCCAGTGAAACCTGCATATTCAAAATATCCCAACAGAGAAAAGACGACCCAGGTCTTTCCTTCCACAGCTTAAGAATAACAAGAAGCAAGAAATAAGGGGGAAGGGTATGGGAACAATGTTGAATAAAAAATTATTTTTCAGAACTGAATTTGTCTCTACAATTTTCACTAACTTGCTTTTATATTTCTACCCTTCAAGAAATCCAAAGCCATTTTACGCCAAGGTTCATCAGTAAAAGCTGCAATTGTCTTTAAGGATTCGCTAACATTTATTTGTAGATCAATAGAAAAAGTTGTTTACAACTGAAAAAAACCCTGCATTACTTCCATCTTTCATGTTGAAAAATACTCAGGCTCAAGGCAAGAGCAAGATTTGTCTGGCTTTGTTTTCAGTTAGAATTGGGTGTTGGGTTTGTTTGTTTTTCATTTTTAATTTCTAGATGTGTAGAACATTGAGCTTTGAATATAGATTTTTGGGTGGCTCTACAAGCAGCTGCTGCAATACGTGGAAAGGAGAGAACAGTTCTACAAACAGAAGAACTACAAAATAGCTACAGGCAACAGCCTAAAATTTTTAATGCAACTTCTCATGCATTACGTACTTACGGCTTGATTTAGATGAACGCTAATGCTGCAGTTTGTAACAAAAACTTCCACCAGTCCCAGATCAGAAGGGCTAAGGATACCCCTTGAGCTGAAAATGCAGATACGACTGCTGGTCCTTACAGAAGTCAATCAAAACAATAGCAAGGTACGTTTAAACAGCAATAAACTACACCCTTACAAACATTCTTGGTCACTCAACACAGCTAGGTCTAAATCTTCAAGCTCCCAGGCGAAATGGCTATTCACAAGCAGATGCTGTGCAATGAGTTAAGGAAACTTTGTGGCCACAGAAAAGGCAAGGCGCTCACAAAGAAGAAAAACAGATTGGCACTATTGTTCCAAAGGTAAATACTCGTGATTTCTTTTCAATTAGGAGAAACGCTATAAAACTGGAAGATTTAGATAACTAAAGAAAACAATTTCCAACAAAACAGAGAGCCAAGATTGCTCCAACAATCATTATCTTACACCAAAAAACTAAAGCAAATAATGGACAGAGACCGAAGTTTTTAGCCCTGGAAGCTACTAAGTTGATCCATCCAGACACGTGAAAGTCTCAAGTACTTAAAATTCCCGTTGGAGGCAGCATATGACTGTAGACATCCAGGACTAAAAATTCTGTCAATAATTTAACAATAAATGCTCACACAACAGAAAACATTTATAGAATAACTCTTCATAGCATTTTTTCTTTTTAGGTATCAAATGATGACGTCTTGCAGATGTCCTCCTTTTGAAGCTACTTGAAATGGTATATGGCAGCTATTAGTAACTCAGGCCTGATTTAGTATTCTCTTCAGAAAGCATCTGCTCAAAGCTTTAAACCTAGATAACAGGATTTACCACATCAAAAGTGCTTTTGCAATGAATATACTATTTAGACAGTCTCAAAATACTTCATGAACTCTGAAATGGTTATCTAAGGAGGGAACTTCGTCAGCAAAATGTAGTTGATCATTTATTTCCACACCAAATTCTTCAAGTATCTGTACAAATTTCTCATGCTCTCTCCCAATCCATGACCTCATTGTGTCAAACACTTGATATGGTGTAACGTGAGAATGAACTTCAATTCCTGTCTGTGCAAGCTCTTTCAGCACTTCAGGATAAGTAACCCAAGTGTTGCTTCCTCCCGAGTGACCACCATCCAACCAGTAAATGGCTTTTATGTTTTTTAGGAAGGCATCGGTATCCTTGTCTTTCTTAGCTTCTTTCAGCTCGTAAAGCAGCTGGTTCAAAACCACACAACCTTTACTGAAGCCGATCAAAGTAAACGACACTGCACCTACAGCAGATGGTATAATGAAGTTCATGGCGGAATTATTAGAGCATTCACAATCTTTCTCTCTTTCTGTGGATGAGCAGCCATTTGCTGTAGGAACAGACTGCGGCTCTGATTTACGAGCAGATACTTTTGCATCCTTGCTGAAACCGTGCGCGGTTGTCTGGGACTGCAGAATATTCTGAGAGAGTCTGAATGCATTAACTAGCAACGCGTGGAGATGCTTGAAAGCTCCAAAGTCGGTGCTGTGCTCTGGTGCTCCAAACATGTTGCTAGCCACAAAGTTGTCATAACAACTGAATTTGTGCAAGTGCATTCGAGAACACTTTACGACCCAAATAAAACTATCAGGGAATCGGTGAGCAAGTATGGTAGCAACATTTTCGAAACTCCAGTGCTCCCACTGAAAGTTTTCTGGGTGGCAAGACATGATGTCATAATAGTTCTGAAAAATTAAAAATAGAAAAGACGCATTACTACATTGAAAAAACAGCTCAGCTCCATCTAGTACATTCACAAGAAGGGATCATGACCAAGGGAACTGTTTCGCAGTACAAAGATGCTTTCTTGCTAGGCTCTGAGAACAAGAAACATGCTACAGAAACTGCTACATTTAAATTTACTTCTTCTACTTCAATATTTTTACCACACATTTTTACATCCCCAAAATCAACATAATAAAAGTAAGTATCTTGAAGTACACATCATTTCTGTAATATTACTCCAAAAGAAGACTAAAGTATTACTCATTTTAGTATGACACAGAAGCAGAATTGCTAACGTCGGAAGGAACTTAAAAGCCCATCTAGATCGAACCCCCTGCCGGGGCAGGGTTGACAGCCACTAGATCAGTCCGCCCAAGGCCCCATCCAACCAGAGGCTGCCTGCAAAGACGGGACATCCACAGCTTTCCTGGGCAGCCCATGCCAGCACCTCACTACTCTCTGAATCAAGATTTCTTCCTTAAATCTAACCTAAATCTCTCATCTTTCAGTTTAAAGCCATTCCCCCTTGCCTTATCACTATCAGACCATGTAAAAAGTCAATCCCCCTCCTGCTTGTAAGCTCCCTTTGACTACTGGAAGGTCACAGTGAGTTGTCCCTGTAGACTTCTTATTTCCAAGCTAAACAAGCTCAGCTCCTTTAAACTTTATTTACAGGAAAAGTGCTCCAAAACACATAATTATAATGTATTTACTCCACTTGCAGAAATATTGTTTGTCCTATTACAGGCAAACAATAGACTTGAATCTTCAAGAATCAGTTTTCTCATGCATGATCCTCACCCTGAATCCCCAACACTAGAGAACACGGATCAGTTACACGTACTGAGGACAACACAATCTCTGGACAAGGCACAAGCAGCAGCGGCAGCCCAAAGGGTCTTCTGACCCTTGAAATGGAAGTTACGTGCCACGGGTGACTGCCGCGCACACTGCAGCGCCCCTCCGACGTCTGTCACCTTAGGGACAACACGTGCCTCCTTACAGGTACGGTCTTTAATACCTAGGAAGCACTCGGGTCTCCCTGCTATCCACAAATCTGCTCAGGAAAGCTCCCGCTTTTCCAATTCCCTCACCTCTGCGAAGACACGCTTTGACACAGCCCCAGACGCAGCCGCCAGCAGCGACGCCCCGAGCGCCGTTTACAGACGCTTCCCCTCAGCTCTACGCGGCGGGCAGGGCCGGCTCCCTCAGCCGCGGACTCCCCGCTCCCGGCCCCGCACCCCGCCCCGTACCTGCACGTCCCCCGGGAAGTACACGACGTGATGCTGAGGCGGCGCCGGGCCGCGCGGGGCCGGGGGCAGCAGCAGCAGCAGCTCGTTGGCCCGCTGCGGCTCCGCGCCCGTCACCTCCGGCAGCCGCAGCCACGGCGGGCTCAGCCGCGCCGAGGAGAAGCCGCCGCCGCCGCCGCTTGCGGGGCCCGCGGCGCAGGCGGCCGGCGTCCCGCAAAGGCTCATGCTCCCACCCAGGCCGAGGGCAGCGGGGCCGATCAGCCCCCGCAGCAGCGAAGCTGCGCCCGCCCAGCAGCGCCCGCTCATCGGGCCGCCAACCGTCGCCCGCAGCCCAGCCCACAGCGCGCCTGCGCGCCACCCCCACGGCCCGCCCATCGGTGCCACCGCCCCCTGAGGGAACCCTCAAAGGGCGGTGCACGTGCGCCCGTAACGGCCGCGCCTCAGCGGTGACGTCACGAACTTTGAAAAAGAGCGGGAAGGGAAGCGAGGGGCGGCTGCGCGGCGGCGCAGGGCCGGGTTGGTGGGGACGCTTGCGTTCTTCTTCACCGCGCCTCTGCGCGCCGGTACCTGTCAGCAGGGCTCTGAAGGGAGTATTTGCTGACATGCCCTGCTCACGGCCCCTCGGCCTCGTCCTGTATTTGTTAAGTGATGCTGGGCTGGCAGTGCCCGTTTTGTGTTCTGTGTGGCCTTGCTTGAAAATGATGTTGGGCTAAAAAATTCTGAGGAAAAATGGGGCAGCATTTGCCTCCAAATTTGCTCCTGTGACCAAGGAGTCCTCCGAGTGAAGTAGGCCCCTGAATGTGCTGCTGTGGGCTTCCTTAAGTTCTGTGAGAGCAGTCCGTGTCAAAACAGGTGTGTGAGCTCTTACCTTCCTTAAAGGTACTGCTGATTTATTACAGCACCTTAGGTGAATCTGTTTCATTTTAGTTATATTGACTTGAATATGGGAGGGCAGACATTGGAGAAAAAGTTTTGTGTGTGTTTTGCATTAAGAAAGTGCATTCACTGCATTATTTGGGAATGGAATGGAAATGGGGGCCTTTCCGTTCTTCCCTGGCATTCTGGAGGGAGTAAGAATTCTCCTATTTTTGTATATTCGTTTATTTCTTCTGGTATTTCTACTTTGAACTACATGGTTTTTTGCATACTGAAATCAGAAACAAGATTAATGCCAGGTGCTTTTGAAGGCTGGCCCCTCATCGAAGGCTTGAGATATTTTAAAGATATTTTTTTCTACTTTGTATTTCTAGGAGAAACTGGTATTTATAAACTTTTTTTTTGTGATTTATGTGAATTGTAGAATTTTAAATTTAAAATAACGATCTTAAAACTCATCTTTACTATTTCTCACGTAGAAATTGTGTTTGATAGTTTTCTCGGATCTTGAAAGAAAATTGCGCTTTTTCCTGTTCACCAGGAGACGGCGCTATGCAATGCGAAAGCCCGTGCTGGAGCTGCCTCTTGCAATCACAGCCATGACTCGGGAGCTTGGTGTTGAAGGTGTGTTTCAGTAATAGCTAGTGTACTTTCAGTAGATCTAGTAGTCAGTTCCAAATTCTGCCTTTAGAGCTGGAGTCTCTCTGGAAACTCAAGTAATATATTCTGTCTGTGCTTCCAAGAGATTAAAGCTCTGAGCAATCTAGAGCTGTGGAGTGGTTGTGATTGGAAGACATCTGTGCAAGTTGTTAGTCCAACTCACCTGCTCAAAGCAAAGTCATCAAGAACAGGTTGTTCAGGATTTTGGGGAGTCCACAACCTCTCTGCACAACGTGTTTTAGTGTTTGATTATGCTCTTCAGATATAAAGTTGTTTTAATGGCAAGACTGAACTTCCAGTTTCAACATTTGCTCAGATGCTCCTTTCCCTTAATCATGTTGTCAGCCTTTCATTGGGCTTGCTTGGGTACATTGGTGTTTGTTCTAGTGGAAAATCTAGATCTGAACCCAGCTCAGCAGGCAGCTGTGCTCTTACTAGTGTGAGCAGAGTGGAAGGACCTCCTCTTTTAATCTATATGTGGAATTTTTCATAACACCAGCTGGGATGCTGTTTGGCTTTGCTGTGATGGTACATTGCATATTGTGTGCTTTTAAGTTATGTGTAATACCATATATACTATATATAACAGTAATATAAGCTATTGTGTATTTATCTCTCTCCTGTGTGTATAATCTAGGAAGTGTCAGTGTTTAAACTGTTCACATGGGCATTAGGATAACAGATGCCAAATATCCTGTTAGAGGAATCACAGAATAAGAGAGGTATAAGAACTTACAGAGCTTTGTGATGAAATTCTAGGCCTGTTTAAAAAGTAAAACTGGATGCTTAAATTAGCTCCAAAACATAGGCACCTCAGCCAGAGTTTGATTTTCAATAAAGTCGTAATTAAGTAACATAACACACTGTCCATATGTATTAGAGATTAAACTGCAAATGCCCAAATCTGTCATGTATTTGGAAAGATGCTTGACTTTCCTGTATCGAACAGCAGTAGTAGAGTTAGATGATAGACATCAAGTAAATGCTTGTAAGTGTTGAATCTTATTTCACCCTTGCTTCTGCACAGACTACGCAGCAGCACTGTTTCAGGGAGGAGGGGTTGCACTAGGCTTAGTGGGACTCTGTATGGACAAAGATTTGTTTAGGATGAAGGATTAGGGCTGAGTTTCCTAAAAATTTTACTTGACATTTGTGCATGTTAGAAGTCTAACATATCATGCTTAGGGCCAGCTAGAAATATTCAGGTGTTCACTTTGAGATTTCCCCAAGCGAGTCCTCTTTCATTACTTTCTTTTAAGAGAATAGTTATAGGGTTTTAGATTTTTCTCTGTGAGCATGCCCCAGGGGTAGAGTCTTAAAATGGAAACTTTCAGAACCTGTGCTAGTGAAGCAAAATTATGAAGGGGAAAAAAAAACCCTCTAGCTCTCATTGTATAGCTGCTTATTCCATAGTTCTTCTTAATCCAATTTGAGCAGTTCTGGTCCACACTGACATAGAAATTAATTGACAGGGCGAATAAAATGTGGTCATTTCTATGCTTTATTAGGTACTGTGCGAAGGAAATACAAATTAAGACCTGCTCAATATATAAGCACATGAAAAAGCACAAGTGGTTTGACTTTCTTGTGGATACGTTTGTAAAATTGGCCAGTTGTCTAAATAGCAACAATAACACTCCTGTGCTCCTAAGTCTGCTTACTTGGACTTTGATTGTTAAGTTTTGTTTACACAAGGAGAGCTCTGTTATGACTACTGAAATTCCACAAGTAGTAAGGATCCATCTAAGAGAACAGGCTACGGGAATGGGAGCTTCCATTTTAGTAAATACTTTCACGTAACATGAAAGATTATGATTAGTAGCATGAAAAATCTGTGCTCTTGACCACATCTTGCCTATGCCATTTTCTCCAGATGAGCATTAGCTTTTCCTTAATTTTTGTACAGATGTTATTAATGTTTTAATGAATGTTACTCTAACCAAAGGTGGCACTGGTACTTCTGCCCAGTAACGCATTGATATGTTTATGATGAACTTTAAAGATAACAGGTTAATGCATGAGGGAGTATACAGGGCATTTGTCTTCATGCCAAATGTTACATGAGCTTTATAGAAGAGCGTGAAGTCTAGCCTGTATATTAGGCAGAGATCAGGTGCACAAAACCACCAAAATGATGGAATGGGCTCCTTTATTTGTAGGAAATGATGGTTTATGTAACATGTTCATACTTAAAATGGAAGACACCAATCTATTCATAACTCTAAGAAGATGAAAGCAATTTCACTTGATGGCGTAAGATAAATTTTAGTGAGAGTGAACTCTCTGAGTTTGCTTGGCATGTTTGTGATGTGGCTTTTGCAATACACAGGTATCTTCAATGAATCTCAATATAATTCCTCAGTGTGGAGCACAGAGATGGTGATTTATGCAGCTTTGGTTTCTTAGTTGCTAAATTTATTAGATATATATATGGATTAAAAAGTGGAAAATAGGAGTAAATGTGATGCTAGAAGATGAAACTCATTTCTTTGTTTTAGAGTGCAATTATTTTTGTAAGGAGTTGATTTTGGTTTGGCTATGTGTTTACAAAGTATTTCAAAAGCCAAAGAAAAGATGCTGAGTAAATGTGATGATAATCCTGAGTATATTAGGCTATTAAGTTGAAGTGACAGCACTTCAGTATGGCGTTAAATAGAATACAGGCTCTTTCGTTTCATAGGCAGGTCAGCGTAATTGTGTTTTTAGCTGATACTCTTTGCAGTTGTCTTTGTTTCTTTCTCTCAGCTCCCTTCTTTCCAATTCCTTCCAGTACACTATTTCTGCAAAAGTAAGTATTTAAGCCTACTACTGTACTTATTTTTTTCTTAGGAGATGTGCATATACACGTGCTTATCTTTGTATTGTATTTTGTTTTCAGCTGCATGTGTGTTCAGATTGCTAGTTTGCAGGTTGGTAGAGGACTGGAAGAGCTGTGAAAATACCTGTAAAATACTGGTAGAAAACTCCTTTTTAGATGGTATGCAGCTGTGTCTTTCACTGTTAAGAAAATGCACCAGGTGTAGCATATCATTCTTTTCAGGTGTAGTAACACTCAGAGGACAGAATTATGCTTCTCTGTGGCAGAGCATGCAGAGAGGAATTTCCAGCAGCTACACAGTGGTGGGTGGTGAGGTCTTGACTCATAGTTTTCTTACTGTATTAGTGGCAACAGTTCCAACAGAATTACGTCTATATGCTTCATTACAAGCACTAAACAATTCTGATGAAATTCCTACTGACAACCATGCCTGCCAACATCCGTCTTCTGTGTAAGGATATTCAGGAGAGCATTAGGAGGGAATCATTTTGTTCTCAACAATTTACTGAGTTGTATGAAAGTGCGAGTAAAAGCTGTTCAGGATGAAAAACAAATCTGTTCTTTTTCTGTCAGAGTTCTATTGGGAACCTACTGAAATAGCAGGATGTGATCTCATTTCTATCCTTTTCACTGCTGAAAAATTATCAGGGAGTATAAAGAATCAAATACTACTGATGCTGTTTCTCTTGTGCCATTTTTCTGTGGAAGTTTATTTTCTTCTATCAGTCTGTCTCGTACTACAGTTTATCTACATAATCTGTCAGTCCTTCCCAATGGCCCTTTTGGTCACTTTCAATGAAGAATAAGTGTTTTAGAGCAAATAACCTGCGAGTATTGGGAAAACTGCTAGATGAATAGATGAGGATGATTCAAATGAGTACCTTCACTGAGGGGAAGTTGGAAGAAAGTTGGCCTTTGTACTTCATGTTTGGAAGCAATTAGCTGATAATTC